ATACAAAATTGATACATATAGATCAGTTCAAAAGAATTTAAACCATAAAAATTAGTTTATAAACCAATTATGTACACAAATAGTTATGAAAAAATATTAGTCTTAAATAGTTTATAAATATTTGTTTGAAACCACCTATTAAATCATAATCACATTGTAGATCCAAATTCAATACTCTTTTTAAAAGGGAAAAGGGTGAAAAATGCCCTTAAACTATGTGAAAAGAACAAAAATGTCCTCCGTTTATAGTTTGGCTCAAAAATGTCCTTACTGTCAATACTTTGGCTCAAAAATGCCCTTGCAGTCAATACTTTGGTCCAAAAATTCTCATATAGTTACAAAATGGGTCAAAAATGACCTTTTCCGAATAAATATTTTTTTTCTTTTTAAACACATCTTCTTCCTAATTAAAATATTATTAAAGAACACTATTCTTGTTTTCTTTCTTCTAAAATCACTTAAACAAATAAAAATGTAGGAAATATTTTTTTTCTTCTTAATCTCATTTTATCATTTAAAATAGAATAACTTCATGTATCCATTCAACAAATAATATATGTCATATCACTACAAAAAAAGAGTTCAATTTATGGGGGTCATTTTGTCAATTTGTGGCGTTTTAGGGACCCCATAAATTAAATTGTGGCGATTTAAAAAAATGCTACAATTACTCTTGCCACGAGCATATTTGTAGCGGTTTTAGTAAACCTCCACGACACCCCCCACAAAATCACTAATAAATTTGTGGAGGTTTTCTAGTATCAATTTGTGATGGTTTAAAACCTTCACAATATGATCTCAATATTTTAAATTTTTATTTTTGTGGATTTAAAATTTTTGTGATATAAGATCAATATTTACATAATTTGATTTGTGGAGTATTATAAAATTATTATTATTTTAATAATAAAAATGAAATTTGATTTACATTAAGCCTTAAAATAATATGAATAAATAATTTTATTAAATAACACAATTAATGCAAAAGAAATTTCATTAAACAAATTTATATTTATAAGTTTCACAAGTTCAAACTCATGTGAAATAAAAGTAATACAAACTTGTGTATAATAACTTCAACATTACATTTTAAATCATAACAAATTCACAACAAATAAATATAAAAACAATTCTATAGCATTTGCTTGGTGATTTAGGTTGTTGTCACTCAATCTCTTATCCAAGGTGAAGTAAGCTCAATCCCATCATCAAGCTGAAACAATAAAAAAAAACTATATGTAATTAGATAAACATATATTGATACATACATATTTTTGTAAGTCTTGAAAAATAATCAAAGTTTAGTTCATTCCTAAAGCAAATTCATATAAAACTTTGGTTTGAAAAATAAAATAAAATTATGGATGAAAGAAATTTATTTTGATGTTCTCTCATACACACTAGTGTGAATAACAACGATTTCATGATTATTTCTACGAAAATAAAAGCTAAGTGTACGGAATAGGAAAATACATATTTTTAAGTTATACTTATATTGATCACAATCTCATATGCAAAATTATCCTTTAATTTGCAATAGTCAAATCCAATCAAGAATAAAATTATTACGTGATATTTAACTAAAATAAAATAAAATTGAGGCTTACCTGAAATCAATTAAAGGTCAGCTATAAATAACTTTATGATGTGATGAGAATTTAAACAAATCCTGAAATATGTAAAGGAACTAATGCATTAGGTTTAACAACTTGTAAAATACAAACTATCTAAAAATTAAATTATACTATAAAATTCTAATGTGGATCATCAAACTCACCTTACGAAGATCAATATTTATATTTAAAAAATTAAGATCAATATTTATATGCAAAAAATTATTTACCGTCTATTTCATAGTGCAAAACCTACAAGAGAAAAAATTAATTAGCAAAAAATTAAAATTCACACTAACCCAAAAGATTACCTGAAAATGAAGTAAAAAAAGAATTAGATGTAAAGGGAAAGAGGAGAGGGTATCAGAAAAGTAATAAGTTAAGGGGGAAAATGATATGGGATTTGGGTGTGGGAGTGTTACGTGGGAAGGGGGGTGGTTATTTGGTTGGTTTGAAAATTTTAAGGGAATTAGTGGAGAATTTTGGTTTTAAAGCTATTTTTAATGTTTTGGAGGGAAAAATAATTACTATTTATTTTTTATGCACATAACAAGCCTTTTCTTTTTAATGTTTATTAACAAGTAACTAATTGATTAATTTGACTTTAGTATTAAAAAATCTCAATCAAAGTTAAATTTTATGCAAAAATAAATATTAACGAATATGACTATATAAGATATCTTAATACAAATTATAGTACTACTATATATGAGATAAAACGTTGAAGTGAAATTGGATATACAAAGTAGAAAAAATATTCAAGCTTATCTTAATAGATTAAAAAAAATAAAGGATCAAAGATTACAATCAAATTGAAAAGAAGAAGGAGAATGTATGTATATATAATGAAATTATCTTTCAATATTACTTGTTATATATCATATAATTTGAATATATATATAATTTTGAAAAGTAACAAAACAAAATTTTGGGGGTCGATAATCCCCACAAACTATTCTAACTTATGACAATTCTCTAACCTCCTTAATAAAACTACCACAAAAAGATTTATATTTTGGGAGTTAGAAAAAACGTTACAAAATGTATTAATAAAATAAGAAATATTTTCATTTTTTATATTTATATAACGATAAAAAATAATGATAATAAAATAAGAAATATTATCATTTTTTATTTTTTTCTGAATTGAAGTAAGATAAACATTTGCTAATTAAAAAAATATTATTAGAAAAAGAATGTGTTAAAAAGAAAATAATAATATATTTATTTGGAAAATGAGCATTTTTGACTCATTAAATAACAATAAGGACATTTTTGGACCATACTACAAACAGAGGGTATTTTTGTTCCTTTCGCATAGTTAAAGGACATTTTTGAACCAAAGTATTGACGGTAAGGACATTTTTGAACCAAACTATAAACGGAGGACATTTTTATTTCTTTCACATAGTTTAAGTGTATTTTTTACCCTTTTCCCTTTTTAAAATTAAAAAGAAACTGTATATATATCAATATAATACAATTGAAAATTTTAATTTTTAAAAAGAGAATAATAATTAAACAATAATTATTTGAGAAAAATAGCAAATGGTAATTATATCTATTATGAAGTCTTTTAATGGACAAAACAGAATGGCAATGGCAAATACAGTATATCATACATGGTTGAAGCGCAATGCCAGGATATTTCAACAAAAACAGCAGCCAGCAAGCTTTCTGATCAGACATATAATCCAGGAGACCCATGGGAGAGGCAACAAGTATCCTAAAGTAGCTACTAGATTTTGATATTTGAATACCTACCTATAGAAAAGGGTAAAAAAACTTAACTATACAATTTAAACACCCAAATTACTCTACATAACAGTAGTTTGATTATTCTCACCTACATAGCAATAATTTTTTTACAAAACAAAACAAAATTTAAAAAAATGAAAAATACTAAAATATAATATAGAGATTAAAAAAAACACACGTATTTTAATCTTAGAAGATCTCTCTTTTTAGTCTTCTTCCTAAAATATCTCTCCCTCAATCTCTCTTCTCACTCCACTCTATTTATTTTTGAAATTTTTCTCCCTCCCGTCTCTTCAGTGGTCTCTTTATCCTTTCTTTTCTTTTCTTTTCTTTTCTTTTTATTATTATTTTTACCATTTTTACCTCATTGTATTTTCTAAAAAAATTCTTTGTTCTTCTATATTTTTCTCCCTCTTTTTTTTTTTTTTGCTTAAATCATTTTTACACCATTGTAGATTGAAACATATAATAAACAATTAACTTTATCATTAATGTAATAAAATAACTTTTTTAATTTATTTGGTTATAATTTTTGTATAATTCATTCATTATGATAAAATTGATTTAAATTAATTTGAACTTGACACTAAGGTTAAATCATATTGTACACCATGTAAATTAATGTGATGATACTAAAAAGTTGGTATATACTTGATTAAATTGTGGTTTATGTATTATAGGGTTGTAACATATAACTAAAACTAACTTTACCATCAATTATAACTCAATATCTTTTATAGTTCTAAACCAACATATAAAAAATTAGTCATACAATACATTAAAATATATACACTATATTGCAACTTAAAATCAACAAATCACCATTATTTTTTAAACAACAAAATCTTCCAATTATTTTTAATTGTTATAGTTATTTAAATTTGTTATAGACGTTGGTACAATGAGAGGCTTGAGAGACCTCAAGCGTAATATATGCTACCCTCCGAGAGACTTTAGCCACATCTTAATCTAAATGAGACGATCAAGAAAGTCCTCCCAGAAAAAATATATTCTTAATACACCTTATCAAACCAAAAGACAAATAAACTTAATTAGTTTGAAAGAGACCGTTCAGTCAGTCTCCTTTAGCTTAGATCATGTGTTCAAGCCACAAGTGTGGTTCCCATTTGAAAAGGTTGTTACAACTAATGAAGTAGGCAAGTTGGTTACAAAGTATTTAGAAACAACTTAAGAGAAGGCCTTGTTGGGTGGAGACATTAGTACTTTGAAAACAGCTCAGTTTTGATATTTGCCAACCAACATTGAATCAAGACATCCACAGATTTGAAATGGTTTAAAACCAAGAAAAAAAAACTGCAAGTCCAAGTCAACTATTGATTGCCCATGTAGCTCCAACTAAAACTCAGTTCAATATAACTATGAAAATGATAGTAAAATAGTTTCTGTAGCACTGTAATTTTTCTATATTTTCTAATTTCTACTGACAAATAAGTCTATAACAAGACCAAAACAACTCCTAGTACCTAAAATAAACCTACTAACATGGCATCCACTTGAATTTGTATATGTGATCCTGCTTTTTAGGGGTGAGGGGAACAGGATTGGGACTCCTATTTCAGAGAACTTTAGAAATGAGTAGCCATAAACTGATCCGACGTCAGAATGCTATTATGAGTCACAATCTTTTCACTACAAGTTGTGAGAGTTACACCTAATAGAATATGGTTTTCAAGAAAATATATCACTTAATTGAATTGAAAATCAAGGTGCATGGAGAAGCAAACCTGGTAAAGAGTATATGGATATTTATAAATACATATTGATTAACAAACAAAACCTATGATGTTCAACAGAACAGTTCCAACAGCCAGTACAAGCCCAATGAGCACCAAAGTTTCTACTAATTCAAGACTTGAGCTGCTTCAAGACAATTCTCAAAACTTTCAATCACCCAACATCAGGAGACACAGGAAGCCGCATAAATCATAATTAGCCCAAAAAAAAACGGTGCAAATGACAACCTTATAATGTGTTGAAGCTTCCTGCACATTAAATGACCAAACCAGTAATCTTGAAAGAATAAGAACAACCAACCTTGTTGCTATGGACAAAACATCATTTGTTTGGTGAAATATCTTCCATACCCTCATTTGTCAAACAAACCAAGTCTTATTCGTACCTTTTTCACTATTTTAGGCAAAAGAGGAACTGAAGGTGCTTCATGAATCTGTTACCGCTTCAGTGCTTGCTTTCACTTCTCCACTGCAATGGGGTGGCTGCACCACATTAGTCTCGGATTGAGCTTCAACAAAAGTCTTACTCTGGCTTGTTTCAACGACAGATGTAGCTTCATGCTCTTGAACAAATGTTTCAATTTCATTTGTTTGCTCAGGTGCGTTGTTTGGTTGAGAAGCAACTGCACTCATGTTGTTAGATGCAGCTTCATTTGTTTCCTGACATTTGCTCGTTTTGATGAGGGAAGGCTTTTTTGTATTACTTAGTAAGTTGATTTTTTGAGATGGCAGCTTTGGAAGAGATTTCCGTGTAGGCTTCTTGACATTGTCTGGAGGATGTCCTTTAGCAGGATTTTGAGATGCACTTTTATCCAGGCTCAACCTACTTGTGTGCATGTTAGTATGGTTTGCCTCTTTGGTGGGGGAGCTCTTTCTCCGGCCAAGCTTGGGGGATTTAGCTCTTGTTGTTGGTATCTACATCATTAAATAGTGAAAAAAGGCATAACCAGAAAATCAAATGTCGTGTCTAAGTCAAAAGTAAAACAGACAGAACAGGAAATGACTAAGAAGTGAGAACAAACCAGCAAGATCAGCATTAGAGTTCTATTAAGACATAGCAATAGCTAAGAGTTTGACACGAGCTCATTTAGTGTGAATTTTACGTGCAGTAAAAAGAAGCCAGACCATGGTGCAGTATATTCAACAATGACCAGAACATTCAGGCTCAGCTAAATACAAACTGAAAAGGATTGGCAATATCAAAGTATTGTCAACAAGCACATTTGACAGCAAGAGGAACTGGAATTACGAATTTGCTGCATTAAACAAATCAAACCTAACCAGTCTACACATGCCACATCTTCATATATGAGCAGATAAATAGCCTTCTTGTGATGATGATGATATTTCTTTTCAGTGTTGCCAAGCTGTCTTTACACTATCAAGTCTGGTAATTTGAAGGAAAAGAAAAGGCAGAAGCAACTTCCTTTCTAATATAGAATTCGGTATAGCTAAGTATCAGGTGCAGGTATGTTCCAGTTGTGATGGGGTTGCACCATGGATCAGTGCTTGGTCCATTTTTATTTGCCTTGGTGATGAATGTACTTACGCAACATATCCAAGGAGAGGTGTCATGGGGTATGCTATTTGTAGATGACAGTATTAATTGACGAGACACCCAAGGGGTTAATGATAAGGTGGAACTTGGAAGTTTGGAGATAGATCCTGGAGTCTAAAGGATTCAGATTGAGCAGGACTAAGACGGGTGCAAGTTTAGTGACGTCACCTACAAGTCAGATGTGGAAATGAGGATAGATACTCAGGTGATAGCCTAGGAGAGATTCAGATTGAGCGGGACAAACAGGTGCAAGTTCAGTGACATTACCCACGAGGCAAATGTGGAAGTGAGGATTGATACTCGAGTCATTGCCTAGGAGAGATAGCTTCAAGTATTTTGAGTCTATAATCCAAGAAATGGTGAGATTGAGAGGATGTCACACATCATATTGGAGCGGGGTGGATGAAATGGAGGCTCACATCCAGTGTCTTTGTGTGATAAGAATGTGCCACCAATTCTTAAAGGTAAGTTTTATAAAGTGGATGTTAGACCAGCTATGTTGTATGGGGCGGAAAGGATTAAGAACGAAGATATTCAGGACAAAGTGGAAGTGGCCTCTATGGTGAACAAGATGAGGGACATGACGCTGATAAGGTGGGCATGCAAAGAGGAGATGCACGGATTCCCAGTGTGAGAGGTTGACTATGGTGGGTCTGAGTAGAGGTAGATGTAGGCCAAAAAATGTATTGCGTAGAGGTGATTAGACAGGATCTGAAACACTTGCAGCTTACCGAGAATATGACCCTAGATAGGAGATATTGAATATCAAGAATTAGGTAGAAGGTTAGTAGGCAGTCGTCTAGTTTCCCTTATCAGTGGTAGTAGTATTTTTTTCCTCCTCCTACTTTCTAAACTACGTATTATTACCTGTTGTTTCTTTTGCTTCGGCTATCATATTATTTGTTGGTGCTACTGGTATTCTCTAATGTATTATTTTTCCTTCTTGCTTTTTCGTGCTTGACTTGACCCGAGGGTCTATTGAAAATAGCTTTTCTACCCTCATGAGGTAGGGGTAAGACTACTTATACATCATCTTCCTTAGACCCAACTTGTGGGATTTACTGGGTATGTTGTAAGGATCTACACAAAAGAACACACATCCATGTCATACCCATTAGACACGGGTACATCAGCAAATGAGTAGTTCATGTAGCAAAGGTAACTTCAATACTCTTGCATAATTTATCTGATTGTTTGGGTATCGCAGAGAAAATTCACCGACTCCAAACCTTCTAATATTCCTAAATTTCTGGGGTTCTGTTAGATATTCAAGCTTCTAATTGAGTAATCAATGAGCAATACTTGATCTACAGATATACAGTGACTACATAAGAATTTACAAAGAGCATTTACATCCTACTATCATCAAAGTTAAATGATCCCAGGGACCTATGATTACAAAAACTGAGGATGCTCTAGATCGTCGCATGACCCCATTTTAAACAAGTTAGTCATTGATGGGATGATTGCCTGCTTGATAATTCACCTCAACCCATTTTTATCATACTGTATTGTTGACCTTGGATAAAGCTGATTGTTTAGGGCCAGGGTGAGGGTAATCAATTTATAGCTTCATTATGTTTAGGACATACTAGGAAGATCAGAAAGACCGAAAGAGGATCCTTTTCTTTTTCTAGTAGATACTAGAGTCATAAATTATGATCAATATGTGCAAATTTCCTTGAGTTTTCGTATCCTCACATTTGAATAATTGCTGATATTTTTCTAGTAGGTACTAGACAAATGGTCTATGATTGCATCATAATATAGGCACACCCACTTTACTCAGACACTCGGAGAATCACAAAAGTGAATGGTGAACTTTAACAAGTTTAGACCATTGAACTGTGTACCTTATAATACAACTATAAATGGGGTAAGAAAGAAAAAAGAAATCCACCAGGAATTAAGACAGGGTCAGCACATGATTATTATTATTATGTCAATCTTAACATTAAGGTAGCAAAAGGAGCGAGCCACTTCTAGCCTACTGAAGATTTTCCAACATTACCAAGCTACCCAACTTAACCATTGATAGTTCATGAGTTCCTTTGGTAGACATACCACGCTTAAAACCTAGTTGAATGCATTTATGTTTAATTATCACAGAATGAAAGTATACTTTGATTTTGCTAAAGGTTTAGTGTTCACAAAGATACAAGTCAAACCTAGTAGTAGAGTGGAAATCAGAATTAAGAAGAGTGTAGTATCATGAAATTTTAGAAATATGAAGAGTGCAGGACAAGTGTTGCCATTAAGAAACTGTATAGCATTTCAAAAATGGACCATAATAGCAATCAGAACAATAAATTGGCAAACTTAAAGAACCTTTCCTTGGTTCATTTCATTCCATGTTGACTGGAAACAAATCTCTGGATATAACCAATGATCTAAATTTAAACAAAGATAGAACCAGTGTTATCAAAGGCGCGCTTTAAGCGCGCTTAATCCCTGAAGCAAGGCTCAAAACGTGTTGAGCGTTTCGCCTCGCTTTAGGTGTGCTTCAGTGTCGTCATCAAGGTTCTAAGACAAACTTTTCCTTGCCAATGAGCCTCTTATGAAGAAGTGACATTAAATGATTGATATTTCACTTTATCATAAAAAAAAATTCAATTTCTTTGGTCATATATTTGTCATTCATGTTTATAACTATTAGTCTTGGAATAACATTCAATTTCTTTGGTCTATATATTTGTCATTCATGTTATACTATTAGTCTTGGAATAAACAATTCAATTTCTTTGGTCTATATATTTGTCATTCATGTTATACTATTAGTCTTGGAATAACATATATATTTGTATTTTTTTCTCCCTTTGCGCCTTTTTCATTAAAGTCCACGCTTTATTTGCGCTTTGCGTTTAAAGCCCCCCCAGACCTTAGCGCCTTTTAGTGCTTTTCGCCATTGATAACACTGGATAGAACCGCCGAACAAAATAACCATTATGCATGTGATAACCATGAACTAAGTCCCAGATGGAAAAACAGGAAAACAGGTAATACAAAAAGCCATAATAAAAGACACCTCCTTATATGCATACATGCAACTAATACATTCTTTTGAGAATTTACTTGTCATTTTTTCCAAATATTGAATGTCCTTCATCCAATTACTTATAATCTTGTGCCAGAAAGCAAAATGAGAAATGATTTGCTGCAATTGATTCATCAGATAGGTGCTCCATGCCAGAAAGTGAGAAAACAGATTGTGGATAAATTATACCTCCAAGAAGTCATCCAAATAGTTAGAGCTATAAGGCATGAATATTTTCTTTAAGATCAAAGACAACTTATATATGAGAAATTAGATGCATAACCATCTCGTTGACCTGGTTTAACTGACATCTAATCTTGAGGGAGCTGATGTGACTACAGCTGATAGAGAATATGCAAAACTAAAATAATCAACATTGATGTCTTTCCAGTATTAAAGGTTAGATCCAGCTACTAAAGAAACAAATCTACAGTAGCCAAAGTGAGTATGTGACTTCAATTGAACTACCTAGTATAATATCCTAACTAGAAGCATGAATCAATTCTCTTTAAAAAAGCAACTATAGAAATTTCATGATATTTCATTCATAAGAATCAAATAAAATGATTCTTTATGCCCCATTAATTATTCATTTAATCTTTCACAAAACAGTGATACAGTATGTTCAATACCAAACAAAACAATTCTTCACCAATACCACAGCCAATTTTCCAACAAAGGATCCTCCTCTGATAAACCAACTTGCTTTAAAAATGATATAAATTGAACCTGAATTTTGGCACTCCAACCCCCGAAAGGTAGCTAAGAGAATAATTAGCCCTTTAGCCAATTTTATCCAAAAAAAAAAAAAACTCCTGCATACACAAAAACTTTTATGAATTTATCCTCACAAAGACCCAGTCTTGCCTGTTTAAACCCCCATAAAGACAAGCAAACACAAACATTTGTTACTCATACCACGATGTGGATAAGTAAAATAATCTCACCTATGGAATGGGGCATGCACCTAGCCAAGTATAAAAGAATTTCCCAACCTTTCGAATCCTAATATTACAATTATTTTGGTTAACAATGAGTGTGGATGAATGTGTTCACCTTCCAAAATGACATTGGCAAACATTCCTAGTTTCTCCTATGAGGGAAGCAACTAGCCCCTGAATTCTCTCATTGTTTTTTACATCAATGGTGGCTTGTATATGGTCACAAAACTGAGATCATTACTCCCTCTGTGCGAGATATGAATAGTTTTATCAAAGATTTTTTAATGAACATCAATTTTCTGTACTCTTGTAATTTTCCCATAGGTTTCATATCCCGTGGATATATTTTGAAAATTTTGTTTTCCACAAACCAGAAGGACATAAGGACTCACATGGCTACTCCTCCAAGGTCATTGTAAATGGTACAATAGTTGGAACCCATCAGAGGCCTATATGTCGAAATTGGATAAATGGTCCCGACGCAATCCAGGACATCTGACCCCAATAGATGTAGTCCAAGTTTCATATTTACAACAAAAATCAATTGCAACTACACAGTGAGCCAACTCAAATAACAAAGGAGATTTCATCCAACAAAGGGAAAAAATTCTTCAACAACTCAGAGTTGAGCTCCTGGGTAATCAAAAGCAGCCGTCAGAAAAATCCGAGTTTGAAGATATAGAAGACCAGTCTTTGCATCAATTTTCAACCAAATTGACATCATAATGCTATCACCAAAGCATTATCAAAGTCAATGTCATGCATGACATTAGCAAACATGGACTGAAATTATTTAGAGTGATACTATAGCATTACTGCAGCTCTATTGTAGAACTTTAACTAGAGCAATTTTTGTCTATAAATTGCCTCCCTCTCCATTTGTAAAACACGCCTTATCTTCCAAGAAACACTCTCATCTCTCTCTCTTTCTCTCATAAGAAGACTTGGATAGAGCTTGCTCCCTACTTGTAATATTTTCCAAGTTTCTTTGATATAAATATCAAAGTTCAATTTTTAACTTGTTTTTTTCATTACTTTTCTAACATCTCTTTTTTATTGTCTTTATTACTTATGATTGACACTGCCACCTACCTTTAATTAATAATTGCATTTTCTAACATATGGTCGACTTTGCATTAGCATTTACATTTGAAACATTCTTATGATTAATTAATACCCAATACCAACATTATACAAAATGTCACCTTAACTCAATATTATGAGTAATAATCTTCTCCGTCCCAATTTATGTGGCACACTTTCCTCTTTAGTCTATCAAAAAAGAACGTTACATTCCAATAATAGAAACAACTTAACTTTAAAATTCCTATTTACCCTTAATGAAATGACTTATAGGCACCCAAATGTTCAATATTTGTTTTAGACCACAAATTTTAAAAACCTTCTTTACTTTCTTAAACTTTATGCCTAGTCAAACAGTTCCACATAAATTAGGATGGAGGGAGTATATGTATACCAATTTATAATTACGTAATAGACATTTTTTCATTTAATTTAAGTAACAATAATGGATTTAGATCACTTTGTTAATTAAAAAATAAGTTATTTTTCAACAATCTTAAATAACTAATTGTCATATATAATTATATATTACTCATATATATTTGTTAATTGTATCCAGGACCCACATCCACTCTGATATCCATACTCAGATCCATTTTCCCCAATCTTAAAATAAATCTAATGATGAATCCAACCTCTAGATCCAAACCCATAACTGATACCCACACTCGTGTTAGAGCAACATAGAACATAACTGGAACATACACCAGCAATTGATTTCTTTCTGGACTACTAGTATTAAAATTAATTAAATGCTTTGAGACATTGATTTAACAGTCTAACAAACTATGAAAAAGAACACCATTTTCATTTAGTGAATTGCAGGTTGATATCTAAAGAATGTTTCCACTATTATTGATGTTCATTGTCAATATCAATGGAGTCTATTAGTAAAATCCCCGACCCACATTGCTGATTTTTCTGAAGTAACATTTTCAGATAATAAACATGTTGACATGCCATCATCTGGTTGTTTTAAGCAGTAATGATTGTTTCATAATGTTATTCTGAACTTATAAATGAAAAAGTTAATGATTAGAAATTATGCACATCAGATAACAGAAATCTGCCTAATACATTGGAAGCAACTAAAAATACTCCAAAATTTCAAGTTAGAGACAATCTTCAAAAACAATTTATAATCAGTGAGCAATGAAGTAGTTGATAAAACAACTAAAAGTATAAGTTTCAGTTTTCAGTTTAGAGTTGTACCAAAGTACCCTTTATCAAAAGAGCATCCAACTAATGCCAGCCAAAGCAACAATGGACATATCAGACTTGACTATTGCTTCACATTACGTGAGTCCTAACTCTTCTATTTAAGTAAAATTATATGACATGACTCATTTATTTTTTGTATTAAGTCACTTAAGGTCACACATAAAAGTTGGTTAAAATTGTCAGACCAATCATGAAATCCGGATACATCAAGTATACAGAGCCTAACACGAGTAGTATTATAGAAACCTAAAGTCTAAGCACTTATTGAGGATACTATCTATTTGGAAGAAAAGGAATGCAAAGAAATAAAGAGCCTAAAATGTAATTTTATTTTATTTTTATAATAGATGTTTTCGTCATAGAACATGAATTATTGCTGAGTTTCGTGACATATAAAAGAGAGAAAATATTACCTTCTTCAACTCCACCTGGGGAGGAGGGGGTTCCTGATAAAAGCTTGGCATGGGGGTTGCTTTAAACTTTAAGCTCTTTCTTAACATTTTGATCTCAGCTTCCTGAGTTTCCTGATTGACAAATACAAAGAGCACAAATGAATGTCTTAAAAGGCAATGCTAGAAGCCATTACCAGATTTCTACATCATGAAAATGATAGAGCACAACAGTCACCATGCCTTAGTCTTGGCTTGCAAATTACTCTGCTCGACTTCCTTCGCATGGATTTTTTCCTCAAGCTTAGAGTAAAACTATTCAAATGAAACAGAAACAAACTCTATCAAGTTTCCAGGATAGGATTACTATGGAAACCAACAGCTAATGCGAGGAGAGAACAAACCTCTCTCCTTTTCTCAGCCCTCTCATTGCACTTGAAACTCATATTGTAGGTTGGAAGAGCACCTACTTTGCGAGACTTGGCATCTGCAGCAGGACTCCTTTAAAGTGATTAAGGATAAACTGGAAATTTCATCCTTTCAGACAAATGCATCCAAGAAAAGAAAAAAATCTCTAGTACAGAGGAAAGCAAAGAGTAGAGGAAAAAGTTAAGAAAGATCAGCATATATAGGATACAAAGGTGATTCTGCATTTCCATCAGCTTTATTTGGGGCAGCTTTCTTCAAAGATATCGGGTTTGTTTTCTCCCTGGAGATGGAAATTATAGTTCACAAGCCATCGTGGAGATAAGATATCTTACATTGCGTAAAGAGCACAAAAGAAGACTTAAAGAAACTCAGACACAAAGGCAAAAGAGAAATTAGGATCTCTCAGAAAATTCTTGGTTTAAATGTCATACAGCTGAATGCAACAGATGGTGGAACAACTAGTAGAGGAAACAGGACATACTTAAGGCCGTCAGCATTTGGAGAAGGTGATGTTGCATCAGGTTGGCCAGATTGCTGCAAGAAGATAGACATTAGTAATAATGAGCAACAACACAGAAGCACATAAACTATAAAACTAAAGAGACTGTTGTGCTCTAAGCTGTATTTGTCTACGACAAGAATGACGATATGCACCTTTACCTTAGCATGACTGGCATTTATACGGGCTACGGCGGGTTTTAAATTGTTATCAGCAGTTTTTCTGTCGTTAAATGATTTACTCTTTACACCAAGGGAAGAAGCCTGTTTAGACCGTTGCTGCGAGGCTAGGGAACCATTTGAAACAACAGAACCAGCTGATGCATCTTTGCCATCTTTGGTTTTCTTGACACCAATGGACGCAGTATTTTTGCCTTTTCCTGGAGCTTTGGGCTGTTTGGAGTTCTTAGACTCTCGAGATTCTTTGGCTTCATGTCCCTAGAAAAGAAAAAACTCGTAATTGTGGCGTAAAAAAGACTCAATCAAGTTAATAATCCAGCAATGAACTCCCTTACCTCAGAACTGGCACAGGGATTGTTTTCTATAGTCGTGGTTGATTCGTGTGCGACCTCGTGTGCAGTGGAACCAACAGTTTCACTATCATTCACCATCACAGCACTCTGTAAACTTCTTTCCAATCCTTGAACACTGAAACTTCCATTAGGAACATCATCTAGTTTGCCAGTAACTACTTCTGGAAGTTGGTGAATTCCATTTCCAAAGCTCGACCCGTTTACGGAAACAGATATGTTATTGTCAACTTCCATCATGCTCTAGAAAGATGCAAACTAGCAATCCCCAATTCTAGAAACCACAACCACAAGACATACATCATGTTATAGAAAGGGGAGACTTTAAAGTATAATTAAGCAATACAAAAAGTCTCTTTTCTTCATTGTAGTAGGTAACAATCAGATATATATAAATTATGCCACACACTACATGAGAAAACAACCATCAAACACAATGTAGAGATTAAAACACCAAGGATCAGAAAAATCACAGCTAACCCATCAACTATCAAAGTTCAGATTTCAAATATAAAATATATATTTTTTCCTTCCACCTGCTAAAACATAAACTTGTACCATCAGTATTATACGACCACCAAACAGTACACATAAAAAAAAAAACGCAGACTTCACTTCTCAAGTCCAAACCAATGTTAAAAAACAAACATGACACAGCATAAGTAAAGAAGTCAAAAACCAAATCAAGTCAAGTAACAATAGCACAAGCCAACAAAGTGAGTAAAGTAGAATAGATCTCCGACCCAGGAACTATTTTCAGCTCTATAACACTAATGTTCATAAGATATAACTTATTAAATAATACAAACAAATGCAGATGCTTCTGAAAAACATCAACTCACCTAAAAATGATTACAAGTCCATTGAATCCACAAGAGATCTGAGAAAACAACTTTCACAAACAAAGATCTTGAAACCTAAAAATAGTGATTAACAGAAAATGCACTTCTTTTTTGGGTGAAATTGGAAGTGAAAAGGTCTGAACTGAGAAGAGGGCTACTCTGTGTTTTTTTTTTTTCAAATGAAAACTTTGCAGTTTAGTGGGCTTTTGCAGCTTTGTGAGAGGTTTTGGGGGTGTTTTTAGAATTTGGTAAAGTTTGTGGTGCCAGCAATATTCAAATCTATTCCAGGTCACTGTCTGATAAGAGAGAGAAGTTGGTTTGTCTCGACATTTAGAGAGAGAAAATGGCCATCGATCGGCTGACGTGACAATATCAACGGCTAGATTTTGCATCCTATTTTGCAGCTACATTGTCTTTTATACAAGGTTGTTTGATAGAGTGTATTACGAAAAAATAATACATGCATGAACTTTCTTATTTGGTTTTTTTTTTTTAACTTATGTATAACTAAATCAAACATTAATTATACACTTTATTGTGTATTACTAATATGATGGATTTCTAGGTATTATTGATAATTTTTTGGAAAAATTACCTAACTACACATATTTTTTTATCATATTTTTTATTATTCCCTACCATTTTAAAAAATTACAAAAATCTCTCTTTTTTCTCAAATTCTCTCCTTTCCAGAACATAACTTTCAATATTCCGACTCTATTATTTTCTCCCTTTTTTCATGTCTATAATCACTCCATTGTATCACTAGAGTAATACTCTAGTTACCAGTTACCTTTATCACTCATTTATTTTGAATTCTAAATATTTTCTCTCTCTAGTTAATCATTTAAAGTTAATCAAGAGGTAGTTCTTCATTTATTTTTTTCTTTTATGTTTTTTTTTATAGGAAAACACGAACAATAGGCTCAATTTATTGACTATGTATCATATGTTTGCTATGTATGTGCATTACTATTTTATAACTAAATCATTGTTTATCATATTCATATTTTTTTTATATATAATACATAGCTACGTCAAATTATACGGGCATGATACATAAATACTAATTTATACTACGGGATTTAGGTAAGTTATACTAGTTTTAATGCATGCATTAGAATATTTAAAGACACAATTGCTCCTTAAAACCTTTTCTTACATATTTTCCATCATAATTGTGAAGAATATCTTTGTTAATAAACATTTTCATGCAATGCATGCTCTTTTTAATGTACCAAATCAAATAATGCATAAAAATAATCTAATCTATAATTAATGCAAGTATTACTAATACAAGCATTATTAATCCAAACATTACTAATACACTTTATTTAGCATTATTTTTATACATTTTACCAAACAACTCCTATATGTCTACACTAATAAACCTTTCTTATCTACTCTTTTCCAAGGAAAGTTTCTTTCTTTCTCTTCTCTTATATATAATCTATGCCATATCAAAAGCATAAAGATTCTTAATTGAGTTTAAAAGGTTTCATCAATTTTAAGCAATATTTAAGACATTTATGTTGTTAATTTTTTTTTAAAAAAAAAGATTGCCCTTCCATATTAGAGAACTCCCTGAGGTATGTTTTTCTTCTTTTGACCTAGATACATAATTGTTCAACTTGATCGTTTGACTAGTAATATGTAGTCTTTTCATTTTAATTTATGCGACGGTATTTAAATATTGAGAGTCAAACAAAAAAAATTAGTGACAATTTTTATATGTTTTTTTAAAGTATTTTGAATTGTTAATCATTTTTGTTTATCTTGATCATTTAACCAACAAAGCAATTATACATAGTATTTTCATCTCAATTTATGTGATGATGTTCCAATTTTGAGAGCTAAGCAGTTTTTTTTACCACAGCTTATACATCTTTTTTAAATACTTTAAATTATTAATCTTATAATTATGGTACTTTTTACTTTGTAGGATTTGGACATGTGACTTCATAGAGATGAAATTAGCATTTGGACATGTGATTTCATGTTGATTTCATTTCATGATTTCATATTATGAGAGAGAAAATGATCACAATAGCCCTTAATGTATAGACTTAGATTGATTTGGTCCCTCATATATGCAACTTATGGAAAATGTCCTTTATCTATGTTAAAAACTTATCAATTTAGTCTTTCACCCTAAAACCCTAACGACACAAAAAAATTCTGTCAAATTAAACAGAGATGTGCAACTCACGTGACATACAAAAATCTTAAACAAAACCTCTATTTTCTTGGATCAGTTCCAAAGACTGAAAACTCCCGCCTTTCCAACAAACAACAATCTCGCCTTTCCAACAAAAAAACCCCTTTTCTTGTAAAATCAACTGACACAAGTTTTTTCCATTGTTGAACGATGTTAATCAAAAGATACTCCAAGGGATCGAGAATTTATTTTACTTTTAGTCTAGGCAATCCAAAGGCTAGCCTATTTGGTATTCAAAATTTGCAGGGTTGTTAGTACTATTTTTCCAATCGTTTTATATAAAATTCGGTTTTTTCTTTTTGGTGATATGAAAACCAACCTTTTTGATTTTTTACTGTTGGCTTCTTTTTGGTTTGTGTATTCAAAAATATTTAGAAGTTATGGTCTACAAAGTATACATGATTTGTAACATCTAGAATGCGGTCTTAATCGGCTAAAATATGTAATCTTTTAACTGCAGATTCTGTGTTCGAGGAGTCATTTTTTAGTATCAAAGTTTATCATAAAGGATTGATAAAACATCAACCAGCCAAACAGTATGTTGGTGGTATCATTGACTACTTTGATTATGTTGAATTGAATGACTTGGAGAAGATGGTCGAATTATGTGGTTACCTGAATGATTCAATAATTATTTGGCATAAATGTGAGAAGCTTAGTAACAAATGGAGATTATTCTCCACGGAGGTTGAAGCGCATAACATAAAAAAAAATCATCCCTAAAGATAGAGTAGTGGAGTTATATTTTGAGCATTTGGACTCTTATATTGGAATAGATGATCCAATTGAGTTTGGTTGCAGAACTACTCGCATTCCAGAGAATGAAGATGTCGTTGGACCTGTTGACAAAGAGTTTGAAAGGGAAAACTTATCTTCGGGAGATGATTTTGAGGATTCTGAAAATGAATTCTCCAATGACGAGCTGATGGTTGATAAACGAGGACACTATAAACATAGTTTTGAGGATGGCAGAGAGTTTATTACTGATGACATTCAAAAGAAGAGGTTACATGAAGATGGGGATCCTGATTGTGTTAACTCTGAAGACAATAAGAGTTTCGATGGTGATTCAGACAATGAAAGTTTTGATTTTCTGAAGCACAATGCAAAGACTGATGGAAAAAAATCCAATTTTGACTTTGGAATACACTTTCGAAAGCAAGAAAGAGTTCAAAAATGTTGTAACAACTCATGAGGTAAGCCAATGAAGGTATATTTGGTGGAAAAAGAATGATAAACTAAGGATGAAGGCAAAGTGTATACACAATGATTGTAGCTGAGAAATAATGGCATAAAAAATGCACAGGGAAAATACGTTTCAGGTAAATACTTATAGTCCCTCACATAGTTGTAAATTGGCACCATTATAACAAGACGATAACTTTTTCATTCATTGCAAGGACCTATCTTGATAGAATTAAACATAATAGGGGATGGAAGATGTCTGAATTCAGAGATACGGTTAGTGTCGAGCTTAAAGCTCATGTTACTTTAACTCAAGCTAGGACGGCTATAAAAAAGGCAATTGCATTACTTGATGGAAATTTAAAAGATCAATTTTCCATTCTTTGGGACCATGTTCATGAAATTGACAAAACAAATCCAGGCACTTCAATTTATATGAAGTTTACTGATACTGAGATGCCTAATAAGCCATATAGATTTCAAAGAATATACTTATGTTTTGTTTCTTGTAAAGAGGCTTTCAAGGGTTGGCTGTCGTAGAATAGTAGGTGCGGATGGGTGTTGGTTGAAGGGACCAATGTATGGGAATCAATTATTGACAGTAGTGGATCTAGATGCTAATAATAACATATTTCCAGTAGCATATGCCGTTGTTGAAAGGAAACCAAGGAGACATGGTCATGATTTTTAAACCACTTGGCTGGTGAAGATCTAATTACGGACTGGAAGCGAAAATATCGTAAAAATGGCTTATTTCTTCGAGGACTCGTCCGTTGTTCCTTAGTAGCTCAGTGGTAGAGCGGTCGGCTGTTAACCGATTGGTCGTAGGTTTGATGATTAGGATTTGCTTTCCCTATTTGAAAAAAAGGAGATCTGTGTCACTCTCACTATGCTTTACACATGAAATTATACAGCTTTTAAGGGCTCATCATAGCCCGGGATGCCTGTTTTACTAGGCGCGATAGAATACTCAACCAAGCATTCAGCTCGATAGATTACTCCCGCACTAGATAGTTCTCAGCCGCAAGGTTGTCGGCATGCCCCAATGAGAAGGTACTCTCAAATCGAATATCTCGTGGCACCACATCTTTAGACAAAGGGCAGGTTTAGCTATAGCCCAGTCAATTGTTGGAGGCAAAGACAAAGAAAAAACTGTAAAGCCGAGCACACTGCATCTCCCGTGAACCATCCTACTAAGGTTTCACGAAGTCAACACATACGTTCACAGCTAGGGACCATGTTCAGTCCATGCCAATAAAAAACAACAGGAGCTCGCGGTCTATCAGCACTTGAAGGGCTACACAATGGAGATCGGATTGGCCTCGTATGGAGCGCTTTTTGGCTCCCCGAAGACCTTCCACGTGACCGACAAGCTCTTATTCCAATTTCATTTCAAGCATGGACCTTAACTTACCGAACTGGCTTAGTAAAGTAGAAATCATTAGCTGTCACAGAATAATCTACTGCCTTAATGAAATCAGTATAATAGTAACAAGACAGCTGAAGAGAGGATGACGTAGACAAGAATCAACCTCTTCCCGGTGAGGTTTTGATGTATCTCATAATCCGAAAAGCAGCTTCTAAGTGAGATGATCTCGGCTTGTCCATATAAAAATCGGTTATCAGTGCATAAGATGTCCTAGTTGTCCAGTACCAACCCGGCTTTGGAAGGTTCAGTGTGCCTTCGTTCCTAGTCATTCATCCAATCTCTTGCAAGTGCTATCAAATCCTCTGTGAGTGAGGATACTCTTTATTATGGGAGTCCTACAGGAGCTGCTCTCGAATGCGCTTACCTTGCCTTGTCGT